CTCCGCCTCCCCTCCCCCGGGTGATCGCGCGGCTGCGCCCACTAGGCGGGCCTAGCCCAGCGCACAGGCGCAGGCGCAGAGGCCGTACTTGCCTGGCGGTCTGCGTGCGCCCGCCCCGCCCCTGGACGCCTCCGGCATTCTCCCCGGACACAGCCCGCCCCACCTGGGACGCCGGATGCCCCGCCCTCGGGGACCTAAAGCCCCGCCCCCGGGAGTCTTCTGCCGGGTCCCCGAAGGCCACACGCCGCACCCTAGGGAGTTGCGCGCCTTGCCCTCCGGCAGCGCAACTGGCGGGGCTACTCCGCGAGGGCGCAGCGCGGTCACGGGCTTGGGGCCGGGGCACGAGGGCACCCCCAGGCACCTGAGCTACAAGTCCCTGTGGTGCCGCTAAGGTGTCGCTCTGGACTGGTGGCCCAGTGTGGTTTAGGACGGGAAGAGCTGGTGGCGTTTGCCAAGCCCTGGGCGAGGGGCGCTTCTGAGAGTTCACGCTGAGGCGTCCACGGCTCCTGACAGAAGGCGTGTGATTCAGGTTTGCCCGAGTGCCCCGAAGGGAACGCTGTGCCCAGAATGAGTGCAGTAAGGGTACTGGTCTCTGGGTTTTCCAGTGGCCCCGCATCCCGTGGGGATCTGATTTCTGCTTGCCTTTCCAGCCTGGCACACAGTAGGAGCTTAATAAGTGTTTGCTGAATGAATGATGTTGAATATCTGATTCATAATGCCATCCACATTTCGTTTGTCTTCCACAAGCAGGAAATTGTGCATCAGGCATTAGGGATGTAGAGCACCAAAGAGACTCCCAGGCTCGTGACAGCCAGTCACTTGGGTCATTCTGATACAGTCAGAGAGTTGCCAGGATGTCTGAGTGCTGGGAACGTTGGGAGGAAAAAGCCAGTGCTCCCAAGCCCTTCTGCTGGGGTGACTGGACCCTGGTGACTGGACCCCAGTGACAACCCTGATGTCTCCACTCCCATCCCCCCACCTGCTCGGGACAGCCTTGGTCTCCTTCCTCAGCCCCCCCTAACCCAACTTCCCCCTGGTCTTCTCTCCACACCAGCTAGGTTAGTTTCCTTGGGCTGCTGTAAAAAATGACCGCCAATTGGGTGGCTTAAGACAACAGGAATTTATCCTCTCACAGTTTTGGAGGCCAGAAGTCTGAAATCAAGGTTTCAGCAGGGTGATACTCCCTCCAGAGGCTGTAGGGGAAAATCCCTCCTTGCATCTTCCAGCTTCTGGTGGCCCTAGGCATCCCTTGGCTTGTGACTCCGTCACTCCAGTCTCAGCCTCCACCTTCACATGGCTTTCTCCCCTGTGTCTGTGTCTCTCTTCTTCTGTCTCTTTTTTTTATAATTAACAATTTAATATTCAATAGACTTTTTTAGTAAAGTTAAGTTTATACAGCCTTATTTCCTATGTGTGCATAATAATGGCCATTTGCAATCACCAATAACTGGATCATATAAATGACCAAATTACATAACTCCCATAGGCTGTCTTTACAGCAGGAAGTTTTATTTTTCTGTGTTGAAAATGGTAAAATGTCCCTATACCTTTTTTTTCCTTTTTTTTATTGTGAAATTTTTGTTGTACATTTTTGTTTACCAGTCACCATATAAGTGCATCCCTCCACCCGTTGTGCCCACCTCCCACCCCCTAGCCCCTGGTAACCACCAAACAGTTCTGTTTGTCCGTATGTTGGTTTATCTTCCACATATGAGTGCAACCTTGCACTGTTTGTCTTTCTCTTTCTGGCTTATTTCACTTAACATAATATCCTCCAGGTCCATCCATATTGTTGCAAATGGGACGATTTTGTCTTTTTTATGGCTGAGTAGTATTCCATGGTATATATATATACCACATCTTCTTTATCCATTCATCAGTTGAGGGACACTTGGGTTGCTTCCATGTCTTG